TTCGCCTTTGAAACAAAAGCTTGGTCAGGACAGATGACGAGTCTCCGAGGTTGGTCAAGATTTAAGGCGGAAAGAGAACCAATCAGCTAAGTCAAGCTGAATCCATGTTGGGTGTCGGCCGAGGGATTTTTGTGTGTTAGGGTGGGTGAACAAGTGTTGGGTCAATGGGGAAACCTAACACCAAACTTTTTCGAAGACGAAGCCTCCTGGTTCATTGAACGTTTACTCAAATGGGCTCACATGCCACAAAAACCGTCCTTACTTTTCAGCTACTTTTATTCTTGCTGGTAGTATGAGATTTAAGAACCTCGGTCGCGACTTCGCCCCGAGGGTGAAGGCGGTCTATTATGAAAGGCCAAGGAACATTGTACAGCTCTTTCAACTTTGGCAAGAAAAATTTAAAAAATACGAATCTTTCGAGTCTTCAAGACGATGGGAACCTGCGACTGCCAGCCAGTGGTTAAAGAATGACAGTTTCCCAAAGGGAGACTAATTACTATTGTATAGCAACACACTTCACCGCAATCGGAGGCTGAATACCACACCAGTCGACCACTGATCACTAGGTGCAGACAGAAATTATCCCAGAAATTATGAGGTTTTTGACACTGAAGCTGTCGTGAATGATATATCCATGCCCACTGTGGACTTCAGTAGCTTCTTGCTGACAGCTGTTTGGTTAGGTGGGTCAGTTTTCTGGGTCACCTGGAAGATCCACTGTTATTATCAGCCCCAGCATCTTTCAACACGCGAAACCTCGAACTTAAGGAGATGTGATGCTTTTCTTTCAGTTGACACGATATTTGAGAAATCAAAGTATATTTCTATCAGGGAAACTACTCACAAGGTTGCTGAAAACTCTTCGACAGCCCACGACCGGTTTCGCCCTTCTTGGGGCTCATCAGGTAGGCGCAGTCCCCAAGTTTAAGTCAACCTTATGTTCTACTTGAACACAAATTGGACTGTTTTCATATCATAAACGAGAGATTTAGTTGAGTCTCTCATGAAAACCATGTTGATTTGCAACTGAGTGTATTTCTCGAAAACAGTTCAATTTGGGTTTAAGTAGGACATAAGGTTGACGGAGACTTGGGGACTGAGCCTACCTGGTGAGCCTCAAGAAGGGTGAAATCGTTCGTGGGCTTTCGAAGAGTTTTCAGCAGCACTGTGAGTAGTTTCCTTGATGAGATGTGACGCTCTTTTAACTGCTTTTACTCCCAACGTCCAAACGCTTCCATAATCTCAGGATCAAGTGGTTATACTAGCCACAAAAGAAGGTTCAGAGCCTCTCATTGTGATTAAACTATTCTCTGGTTGTCAGTTTTACATTTTTCTCATCCACATGGGCTAGGCTTATGCTGGCTATAGTTTATAAGGCCTGGTGAACTTTCCAGTGAACACTGGAACACTGGGGGTAGGACGCACACCAATGATGCTTACCGCAAATTTTCGTGCATAGTGTTCATCCTAAACTTCCTGACTTAGGCTCTCAGTCGAGTCATTTCGAATCCATTTTACCCATATATGTGAGTTTTTCCGTGCCCACTAGTGATGAGAGGTAGAAAGTGTCGGTGACACAGAGAAGTCGACTCATGAACTTACGACGAAAGGCCTGGACAGCATAATAACTTCTAACAACGCGGTATGTGTCCAGTTCGCAGCTTGGTACTGCTTTCCAGTTATAATCGTTTCAAATCCCAGCTTCGAAGTGCTAGCATGTGGCTGTGGAATGTCATGTGGTACGCTAACCAGTTTGATGAATTTGACCGCATATGTTTTAGCTAGCGAGTGAAGAATATCATTACAAAAAACTGATGGAAAACAAAACATTTCGGATTGAGAACTTTAGATTATGGTTAGGTTTGTTCATACAAGTTACATTTTAGACAACCAATGTCGCTTCCTTGAGTTCAAAACGCTATACACAGATAGGGCTTGTAGGATTGCGCTTAGCGACAGTTACCAGATATTTACCGGATATGCAATTTTAACAAATACAATAAGAGAAAAAGTTATGCTACGAAGGGGATAAAATTTCTAAATTTTTTGCTGGAATTCCTATCAAGGCGGCTTTCTGTCGTTATTCGCTTTTTGTTTCACCAGAATCTGATGTCGAATATCCGTTTTTATTAAAATGTACAAAAGTTGGGTGAAAAGGCACCTGTGATTCCCCATTGGGATTTTGTCTGGTAGTGAAGTCAGTCTAGACCGGGAAAAAGCCAACCTTGAGCTGCTTTGTTCTCAAAGGAACTCGTCAGAACGACCTGACAACACAACAACAGTCAAATGTACGTGGTCTGTCTCCTTTGGTAGAAAACGGGAGTCCAACCGATAACTTTTGAAATTTCGTGCTAACTTCTGTGGGAAAACGAGCACTAATTAGCAAGACGGCAAGGGCAAATGCTCTAAACTCTGGTCTGAGTCTTCTACTCCTCAGTAAATAGGCGAAAAAATGTATTTCACTCCCGTCGAGAAATAAGCCTCGTAGCCCGAGTTGCGTAATTGTGCATCAATACACAATGGAAGAACGAAATTCATCAGGTAGACGACGGTGTTCTCTCCTGGTGATGATATGGAAACTGCATACTTGAGCTATTGAAAGGAGTTCGAGAAGAGTAACCTTACCAAAAGTCGAGAAATGATTTCTCTGGTTCACCTCTGGTTCACTATGGTAGCATCTGATGAACAAAGCAGTCACGTTGAACAAAATACCTATCCCGCAAAACCCCAAAACTTCAACCAAAAAGTTGCGCAGTGGGTTTTAATCGGGTGTCATGCTACCTGACTGGGAAGTGCTGACTGGAGGGTCAATCGATCGTCGCAACCCGGACAGTTATTTGATCGTCGTTCGATGGGTCGGGCACACCAATTACATCGCTCAAGTCACGTTCGCCTGTTCACATGTGGAAATTCAGATGCGTCCAACGTGCGTTGGTGGAGTAGTGGTCACACGCTCGCCTTGCATGTCAGATGTCCGGGGTTCAAATCCCGGCACTGCTGATGAGCCCTAATAAGAGCGAAAATCGAGTCCAGCGCTTTCCTTTGGTGTGGACTCACCGGAATAATTTCGCCAGAACAGGATGACGACCGTTCAAACGAGAGTGATGTGACCATGAGAAAATTCACGTGTTCTCAAGCCACTGCAAGCCGAACACCACAGACGCGTATAACTGCAAGGAAACTTTCACGTGGAGTTCATAGTATCCAGTCGAGCAAGACAGCACTCTTCTCCCTTCTCACCCTAACCTAGTTTCCTTATGGTGCCAAACATCGGTATCAAACTACCTCTGTTCATTTTGATCGCGGAGGGTGCATATACTGAAGACAGTTTCTGATAAATATCCTGGAAGGTGCAAATTATCTTACCACCAGAATGATAAAAACAACAATCAGTGCTATTGTAGGAATCTTCGAAGAATCTGTTTGCGGTGACTTGCTGGTTAAATCGCACCACTGGGAGTCATACGGGAACAGATTCCAGAAAGTCGGGACAAGCTTTATCAGGAAACAGTTTTCTGCGCCATCCTTGTGTTTTCTAAGCTAACTAGTATGGCTGAAGACGATCTGACACATTCTAAATATGGACAGTAAGGTGCCAATTCATCACTGAGTAGAGCGACCAAAACTTCGCATTATCAAATCAAGGGAGAAGTGTTCTCATATGGGTACCTTCCTTGATCTGGGCAACCACGAAATCGGTTTTCGAACTCGGAAGGCAAGAATAGTGCTTAGGAGGCAGGGACGCTGATATACTTCACATCACATCAGGCTGGTGTGGCGTTTTGTACCTTTATTTTACTTCCATTATAACACACACACTACGTATTTCATCAATTGCATAATCACTTTTTGTTTGAATAAGAAAAACTACAAAAAACGCGCACTTGTACCATTTCACATAAGACAAGCGTGGTCACGTGCTTCAACTCTCTCTTCTGATTTCGCTCGCGCTTGTGGCGGTCATTCGCGTGTCTCATGTACTAACTCTGGTACCCAAAACATTTCAGACTATCTTCGGAATCTATTATATGTGGAAGACCTCTGGACCAACATAACTGGATTATTGTTTATTCGCTGACCTGGGCTAACGACGAACTACTTCAAAAAGAACAGTTATTAGTGAGTCTATTCCATCTGACCTCTTTATTTTTGTATACCCAACCTAGCGTAATTATTTTTATTTCTTTGCCACACACTGCTGGTAAACTAACTTATTGAGTAGCCAGACCACCACACTGTCAGTCGTTTACAACACTTACAAAAATGTGGTGCGAAAAACAAGCTAACATAAACGAAATACGGGTGAAGTCCATCAGAGTTAGATAGCTGATATCCTGTTGATGGTACCGTCAGCATCAGATCGGTTCCGTATTCACGAAGTCCATGTCAAGTGACCTGAGGAACCTCGATGCCGAGGATAACCTATTAATGCGGTAGTGTAATAAGATGATGAAGGCAGAAAGTGCAAGAGGTTAGATGCAGTGATTTGGCCGAATTCGCCACCGGAAGTCTACAGTAGACGGCCTTGATCAAAGGAGCCATCTGAATGAAAAGCGATCAAAGTTGTGAGCAACCACGGTCAGTTCAGTTCCACACTACGCATAAATCAAGGGATAATCCTAGATCTCCGATGTCGATGAACGGGGTTGATGGCATAAGGCGTTTGCATAAAAAAGAATCCCTAGCGAATCATACCTTATGACATCAACCTAATGGTTACCTAAGCTTAGTTTCGTTTATGTGTGTTTTCAAACAAAAAGTTTTCACAACTTTCAAAAGCTTCTGTAGAAGCTGGCTGTTTATCTGTGAAGCTCTGGTTCAATTCATGCTCCGGTCAACGGCTTGAGAAACAGATTGGTGTCAATGGAATTTTCTGAACTGCATCATTGTCTTCAGAGTCTAGACATTCTTAAGTTGTTATTAGAACAACTACCTTGGAACAAACAATCTGATGACTTTTCCACAACTCCAGTGTTTACTTTCATCTTTTCTGCACCCAGGTAGGATCCATGTGATAAACGATTTAAGAGAAAATAAGTCAGAATATTTCTAATGTATTCTGAACTGGACGCAGCTGGTTTCATGTATTCTGACCAACCAGTTCATGCAATATTGACTGCCATTCGGTGGAACGTTACATTGGACAATACGATTACCCAATCAAACGGGGTTTTCACTTAGGTTCCGCAAGCTCGACTGACCAATGCGCGAGGGATCAGCTAATATTTAGACTGAGGACAACTCATCTGCCAGCACCTTTCCCCTGCCATTTGCTTTCTCCGATCGTACATGAAATCAAAAAAATCAGACGAGCTATTCGACCACATGGAACTCCAGCCCAGTGGAGATTCTCATTTGTTCACAAATGATGGATCGACGTCCAGACCCACAAAGGATGTTCCATCAACAGAACAGCTCAATGTCGATGAGTTGCTTGCCGGACAAGTTGGAGCATGTGGACTCTGGCAGTGGCTGATCATAGTTTTAATAGTCTTGTCCGGACCATCTATGGCATTTTTTCCAGTATTTGTGAACGCTGTGCCAAGTATGCGTTGCCGAATGGAGCCGCAGATAGAAAACCTGTTTGCAGACTTGGAAATTCCCTTTCTTAATGTATCCGAAATCGTTGGCCCAAAGTCAGGCTGTTCAAGATATGCTTACAATTGGACAAGCATTGAAAGCTTCGGGGATCTAATCAATTTTCACACGTCGACGAGTGATGTACGGACAGAATCCTGCCCCAACGGGTACGTTTATGAGAGCACTCACTTTCAGTATCCGGGTTCCATAGTCGCTGAGTTTGACCTGGTATGCTCGCAAACGTGGTTGGCTCCTATGGGAACCTCGCTTTACATATTTGGAATGTTCCTTGGTTACATCGTTGGAGGTTGGCTTGGAGACAAGTACGGACGGAGGCCCACTGCAATCGGATTCTCTATGTTGGAAATATGTGCTGGAATATTTGTGTCCTTGGCGCCAAACCATCACGTTTATCATTTCGCGCGGACCGTTTCAGCTTTTGCCAACACTGGAAGAGCCTCAATAATGAGGATTCTACCTCTAGAAATCACTCTGGCCAAATACAGGGGATACTTCGTTTCTACAATTATCCTCGGTGTTCTGTTTTTCCATCGGGCAGCCTTAGCTGGGTTCGCCTACCTAATCCCCAACTGGAGACTGTTACATGCCGTTGCGATTGCACCCTGTTTGCTAAGCTTTCTATTCTTCTGCATATTGCCCGAATCACCTCGCTGGTTGAATTCGCAAAATAAACAAGCAGAAGCCGTTCGTGTCTTGAAAACTGGGATGCGCTACAACAGAATTTGTCAAAAGCGCAAAGCACAGTCACGGCAACTTGAGCTTCTACTGCGTAGGCTCGAAGCTAATGAAACCACGATTCCAGAGACTAGAAAAACTGGAAAAGTTATGTCAAACATTTTGCAGCACTTGAAACCAAGTTCTTTTGATCGCCAGCAACTAAAGTTCCTAATCATTGGTGCTTTACTCATGAATACCCAGTCCCTCGCATTATTCGGTGTGGTTCTCTATGCTCGAGTGATCAATGACTATGTATATATTGTAGTACTGGTCAATTCACTTACCTCGATTCCTGGACCTGTCATTGCCTCAATTGCTTATCGATTTTACAAGTATCGTCGATTGCCCCTAGCCGTTTGCCTGACAATAGCATGTGTGGCTTTATCAATCGGTGGCGCCTACACATTATTCTGCAAACCTGTGACCGACACTGTTCTGAACGTCTGTTGTAACTGCGCTCTCGTCATGTACTCGGCCACTTTGGTAATGTTATCAACATATCTGGCTGAATTGTTCCCATCAGCGACACGAACACGCGCCATGGGTATATTATCGGGTATTGGTCGGTTGGGTGGGAGCTTCTCGACATTTGTGAATCAGCTAGACGCTGCTGCTGGTCACGGCGTACCGGTTATATTCTATGCGTGCGTCAGTGCACTACAGTTTTGCCTACTGTTCTTTCTGGCTGACACCAGTGGAGAAGGCTTGCAAGATAAACGTACCGTTGTCAAATTACCCGAACAGGAGTGAATCAACGACAGCTTCTGAGAAGCCCGAGGAAAGTGTTTAGACTCTCCTGATTTTGTGTATACATGAAATTCTCTTTTATTTGTATCGTTTCCTACACAGTCTTCCTACTATTAGAAGATCTTTTTGCAGTTTTTTTCCGACCGTCTTGCGTCATGCGATTAACCCATTTTCGACGTGTGGATAAAAACGCGTTGACGCATAAGATAACAGTGGTCATTCAGATAAGGTAAGGAAATTTTCCAACGTATTATCAGATGATCTGCAACAGCACCAATGTTTAACTTAACGGCACGGAACCCCGTCGTTAAATTCAAGACAACCTCCTTGTTGTATTCCTTTGATATTTCAGAATCACGGTGAACAGAATGCTAGCCAAACCTTCGAGGGATTAACGTGCCGTATCAGTATGTTCTTACGGCATCCATGTTACAATCTTCGTTTTGATGTTCCTTCAAAAGTCTCAATCCATCATGACAATCACTCAGTTCTAATAAAAGGGGCATTTTCACCCAGGTTGTTTCTCTGTGTCACTGAATAATAAGTAATTGACAGGCTTTGTTAGAAATATGCATCGTCAGAAGTTTGTGACACAAATTTGCGGATTATCTACATCGAGTTTTTTGCTGAACTGTCCTCTGAGTGAAAAATGATCAGTAGAAGGAAAGGAAAGGGATCGGATGATTTTGAAAGTTTCTCTCAGCATTGTGACGATGGGCGGAAAATGTGGATTCTTGTTCAGAACGTACAGAATACACTTACCACTGATGTGCTCATGGACTTACACATACATATGATCACGTGCACAGTGAAGGTCTGAAGCAAAAACCTATCACGCAAGATAAGTTGTACTTTCAAATTGCCAGACAGTATACGTATAAAGCACGTCTATCATATGTTTCCATCACACACGTTGATAGGCTATCCATCACTGTGCCGCCTTACTAAGACCAAGTCATAGGATGAAGCCAGTCAGAAACCACTAATCTCTATGCCAGCATGAAGATGACACGTACTGATTTTATGAGCATGTACACAGTTTGGCCAAAGCCATTACCCGAGTGGAATGACAGACCCAAGTCTGCATTTTCGGACTGTTTCTCAGGAGCTTCTGTTCTATGGGAACTAAGAGACAATCAACTTGCTCTGTAGTACAGATATAAAAATTGCCATCTTCGTGCTGACTTCAGCAAGAGCTCCAAAATTGGCATGGAGGCCTAGGTAGCATGAACGCAGTGCTAGATAATGTTGACAGGATGGATTTTGGTTTGGCTGGTATTCGGTTGGAGTATGACCCTAAGTGAAGCATATGCAGGTACTGAGTATGAACGCGGTGCCCTTGGTTAGGGTGATCGATTGGGGTATGAGGTCGATACGATTTCGTATACTGTAAGGCTTACAGTTTAAAACTACGGGGTCTCTGGCGTCATGGGGTCGCCGAAGGAGAAACAGGATGTATGTTAAAATTCACCTTGATATGTAAACAAATGTCCAACGTCACACGTGCATATGTTTTTGCGAATATTATATTCAACGCGGTAACATGGTCGACGCATTTCCCTCTGTAATCTGACCTCCGATTCTAATCATACGTGCCGTGAAGCTCATCACATCAGGTACAAAAATATGCAGCAAGTTTTCTTGATTTCATGGGTTTGCTGAACGAACAGAAACTTTCAGATTAGGTCACGTGAACGTTGAGATTGCCCGTACAGAATTACTACTCTCTGATAGGCCAAGTCATTTCATCTAGTATTTCTGAATGGTGATGTTTTTGTAACCGCTTTCATCCACGTAGATCGTAGTTGCAAGCTTGTTTAAGTCCGCCCGTCATTTCGATCCCGACTTCTTTCAGCGCATTCGTAGTTAGCAAATCTGAGAGACCACAGTTCTCTGAGGAATATCCGATATAACGAGCACAGCTTATAATTTATGATTGGTTCTACCAAAAGCACTTTGTCAGATCCCTCTTCTAGCTGTCCGGAGATCCAGTTTCGATCTTCTGAAATCAATGTAGGATATTCCTGAAGTGAGAAAATCGAGAGTGGTTTTCCCCACTCTGATGATAAGATAATTTACATTTTCCAGGATAACCATCAAACACTATTTTTAGTATATGCACCATCGGCGATCAAAACAAACAGAGGAAGTTTGGTTCCGCAGGCTCTTGGCGCAGTCATATCCATGTTTGGCACCATATGGAAACCAGGTTAGGGTGAGAAGGGAGAAGATATCTGTCTTGTTTGACTGGATACTATAAACTCCATGTGAAAGTTGCCTTATTTATACGCGTCTGTGGTGTTCGGCTTGCAGCGCCTTGAGAACACATCTGATTTCCAACGGTACTACTTTGTTCCTTAGATGCTACCACAATGCCCGAGGGTCAACAGAATCTTTGAGGGGGAGGGTATATTGACTGTTTTCGAAATCCTTTCTTAGTTGTTGTGAGATTGCACAGACTATGCCACCTCAACTGTGCTTCTGATTTTCTGATGAATTTTCTTCAAATTTTTACGATTTCTTACTAGTTAGGTCATAAACCCTCCTTAGTCATTTACTACTCTAACTGTTAGCTTATTTCCGATTGGCGCTCATGGTCTCGGGTTAGACCTTATGAACGAAACAATAATTACTCAACCAACCTGTCATCTGTTCAGTGCTAAAGGGTAAGATTAATCATTCTAAACTTGATCAACACATACGTCAGAAAGACGTCAGGACAACAAATTAAAACATTACACGACCACCCATCTTAATTGATCAGATCTGCTCTCTCAGGTGTCCAAAGCGACTTTAGTGTTTCTGTCGGAATCCAGACTCCATGGAATCTATTGAGGAGGATTCTAGTAGCTCAGGTAGAGTAGACGGTTTTTTTTTTTTTTTTCCGTTAGCTCGGCAGCAGGTAGAGTAGACGGTTTTTGTTTTTTTTTTCCGTTGAGCTCGGCAGTTTATTTGCAAATGTTTCTTTAACAATCGAGGTAACATTACCAATGGTTTGTTAGGGAACGTGGTAGAACGTAGAGATGGGTTGGTGGTTGTGGGTTGCATGCTGTTGCGTGGTTGTTCTGTCGGATGGCTCCGTTGGTTGATGTGGAAATGAGATCAGGCCTTTGCATACCTTCTAACAAAGTTCGATTATTAGTGGATAGGGTAAGCAGCGAACGGCTTGCAGTGTTTTGTCGTGGGTTTTTCGTAGACAGATGCTCGGAGAGTTGCTTAACCTGCACAGAACCGTGCCCGGCCGGTGAACTTCAGCTTTTGAATGCTTTCAGTTATCCAGCTTAATCGATTTCAGCGGTGGTCGCTGTGGGACGGGGTTCAAAGTTAAACGTCATTAACTCAGTGTCTTACTTATTTTTTAAGTTATGTTTTGGTGCTGTTCCCGTTTCCTTGGACTTGAAGTATTCAGATATTTTTAGGCGCTGTTTGTTGCAAGGCACTGCAAAAACGAATGTATTCAAATCTACCAATGCAAGCAGAGAACAGAGAAGAATTAGAGAACTTTGCTTTTATTATCCCATAATGAAGGCACTGCTAAAACTGAGTGAACCCTAAGTACGGGAACTGCCTGCGTCGTCGAACAAACCAAAAAGTTCAAACCGTCGATGTATGTCTTATCCATTGCGACTTGTCTATGTGGCTGTAGTCCACTGTCCTTGAATATGTACTTTATCTGCGTAGAAAAAACGTATGATTCATCTGTTCAGGCTGATGCGATTGTCCTCCACTGACGTTTGCGTCCAAACGCTGGACCGATTGAAGAAGGTATCCACTGATCGAAGGTTAGAATTAGAAGGCGAATACAATCTACATCTGGATGGTTCAAGAATATCGTCAAACTGCTGTGTGCGGAGTGTCAGTGCGTTTGTTTGTTCGCGACAATGTAGTCCATTTCTACATACGAAGAGCTTACTTTCTCGACAATCATGCAAATAAAGTGGTTCTGTTCAGTCAAGACAAAATACATAAAGTATTACCCTCAGATAAAAAGGACCTCTTATTACTTTGGTTTTTCCACCTCCAACGCAAGTATCACACCTCGTACATTTATCGTCTTCCAAAAGAGACTGATCCTTCTATCTGTTTCCCTGAAGGTGAAGTTAGATTTAATGGCTCTTTGAAGACCTCAGTTTGGCTTGGACCACCCACCCATCCTAAGAGCACAAGTTGTCTAGCATTTTCTCGGAACGGCTAAACAATTCTCGGCTCGCACTTGTGACAGACCACAAGTTGTGTTCGAATGTTGCCTACTACAGCAACGAAAAAAGGCTTATAGAAACCATAAAGCAATCAGTTGGCCAATGGGCTTTCTTGATCCAGTTTGTCTAGTGTGGTGCTACCTGCACTGGATCAATTCTTCTCTTTTCGAAGGATCCTTGGCATCTTGGATTGACTTAACTGACAGGAGTAGAAAATAGGCCAGGAAGACTGGATTCATCTTTTCGAAAACGCGTTTGAATCCAAACGTTATAGGACCTTGGGTAGCAAGAGTTCAAGGCAGCTAGTTTGTTCCCGTCACAGTTTTCTTCATGATTCTGATTTACAACCGCCGTGATTAGTTCCGGTCCCCAATTTGAACCGCAATTTTTATGTCGCAAAACATCAAACGGATCCTAAGGTAAGACCGGTCTTTATTGATTACTTGTCCTAATTATTCGCTTACTTTGATGTGTTTTCTTATTTCGGGAACTAATGCAGTTTGACCGCAGTTAGTGGGCGCTTCACAGACGCAATGCACATAATCGAAGATTCGCATTTACGACAAAGTCAGATTGCAACTCCAAGAGCACTCAACTTACACTACGTATTGAGTACTCTGTAGGCAAAATTCTGACAGCAACTTAGTTCCACATATTGATTTGACAGCTGTCATGGACAAACGGAGAGATGACCTTTTTGGTGCTTGCTGTTGATAAATCTTAGCTGGTGTTTTACGAATGCCGTCAGTGTGACTGCAGTTAGATTTCATGTCTGGCGTGTTGGTTTTATACCAAGCAGACCAA